CATCGGTATCCCATTCTTAAGTAAGCCATCAAAATGTCTTGAACGAATTAGTTACGAAAGCAATATCCATCATTGCTGCTTCGAATCGGTTAGCACTACGACAAAATAACCTCATCGAATCGCCATACACTGCTCGAAAAAGAAGCATTAATATCTCTAACTAGCATCAATGCCATAAATCAGGCACCTTTGGTTCCGCGATCGTAAAAACATGATGTGAAATTCGAAAAGATAAAGGAACCTCAAATGTTCTCCGAGCGAATCCTAATCCACCGTAGCGCAATTGCGAATGTGCAACGTTTCCAGCTCGTAATGGGCCGAAATACTGGATGTTTTCAGTCGAAGTTTTACGACAGTATTGTCGAACGCCCTGTGGGACACCGGTAGCCGTAGTTAATGCCGAATTATACCGGAAAGTCGTATAACTGCAGTGGGTAATTTACAATGATTATTCCGAGATTTTTCCATTATTTTCGACGCTTTTATTTATGGTGAGACGTTCGGGATATTCTGTTGAAGCGCGAGGGAGTTGTACTACTTGGAAGTGTAAAAAAAACGGTATATCCTAAACATTTATTCAACGCAAAAGAATTAACTATTATTTTACAAATTGAAACAATTATAGGTGTTTTCTTGAAGTTGTTTTCATTATTTTCCTATTCATACATTCAAAACATTCTTGATAATTTTAACCACTGTTAATATCATCGTATACTCATCTCACGAAAATATTGTATACTTGGAGAAATTAACATATATAGCAACAATAAAATTAATTCAGCTAATCCCTCGCTCAAAAACGGCAATATTTTTCACGCTAACAATATTTCTATAACCGCATTTACATTTATAACTTTATGTGTTTGTGTATCTACCCCTTTATTAGCACCCTCGGTATATTCATAGAGTGCCATTTTGGTTGATGTCACGGGTTTCTACACGTCTGACACTTTCTATTAGACAGTTTATTTTCGCAGGCAGGTCAAAAAAAAACGAAAGGGTAACGGGTAAAATTCTGGTGATGTTTCAATTCTGTCGGTTTTTTTTTGTTCAATAGATTTAGATTTTCGAAGGGAATTATCGAAGACCACCTGTACAATGAACTGAATTTGAGTATAGTACAGTACATTCTACCCAAAAATTAAAAAAATATATTAGTAAATTGGTGTAATTGTCTTGGGAAAAAAATCCAAGACAAATTTTCCAGTCGCCAGTCGATATTCCCACATGAATAATCGCCCTCGTATCACAAAAAAAACCTTCGAAAAGCACTAAAAGTCAAGGAGGCAGCCGGTGAATATTAACTTTTTTCATTTCGCGATACCGAGATTTATCGAGTATTTATCCCGCTGAGTTGAAACATCTAGCGAGTCCTGGGAATTATTGCGTATCGGATCGAGGGGGGCTCTTCGGTTCTTCGATTGAACGATTGTTAGCAATTGTGCCGATACAAAGGTGCGAGTGGATAAATAACGATAGTCGAAAGGCAGGAATTATCATAAGTATCGCGGAATAGCTTGTTCGTTCCATTCTCATTTGACGGGGAGCGCTTTATCTAATTTCGAATGCTGTGATGTAAGTGGACTTGTAAATTCGTTCGCTAATAGGCAATGTAGGTACTCAGAGAGTCAGTTATTAGATTTTTTCTCACAAAACTCCACTGAATTTCGAAACCTCTTAATAATCGAAAATTAATTTTCGTTCAGCCAGTCGAATGTTTACACAGAAATACAATCGCGAAAGCGACCGTTTGCATAATACAGCTGTTTAAGCGAGCCAGTTTTGAGGTAAATTTACGCAGCAGATGTTTTGATTAAGCCAGCGTAAAAGTAATTAAGAAGCGAATGGACGAGAAGTGCATAATATTCACTGAGTTACGGACCTAAATACTGCCATTTTGCCTTATTTATGCTAATTACAACATCGAGAGTCTGCGAGATAGAGTGGCGCACTACAAGAAACTATAACAAAAATTCATTATAAGTTATACCGATATAGACATTGTAACAAAATTAACCAATTACCCAAGAAGAAACAAAAATTACATAAGTATGCTGATAGTTAATTATAACATAAAAATATTAAGTATACGTTAAATAGGAAAAATATTTTATAATTCCATTCCACTTTGCTCTTTCATTATCATTAAAAGGATTTTCTTCGTCAGTTTGCTCCGCTTATTCTTCGCAAATCATAATATATGTTAATTAAGTTCTTTCAGTAATCGCTTTTCTGGTCGCAAATTATTTTCGAGCCGCGTAGGATGATGTTTTGAATTTTTGAAGAAACCGATGGAAGCGTTTATAAAGTATTTAGAATTGCCTTCTGCGCGCAGTTTATTGAAATTAAAACGACCTGTTGAAAATTGAATTTCGATAATAAATGTCTTGAGAATGAGGTAAATAATTACTGTAATTAAACCGAACTGACTTCTTAACCCTCGTCTGACAAACCTTCACACACCCTTCAAATATATAACAGAAACGAGTTTGCTCTCGCTTGTTCTCAAATAATATATCTTCGCAATTATACCGTTTGTTGAATCAGCAAAATAAATTGAAATCCTAAAGCGACCGAGCTGCATCCAAAAGGGAAAAATAATATTTGTTATTAAATCCTTTCATCCCTGCGCGCCCTGTCATAAATTGCGTATTATTTAAAACGCGTTCGGGGTCGTCATTGTAGAGTTTTTATTCATTGGCCAGACCATAGAAAAACTAACATTATAATACGCGACGTTCTCACCCCTATTTATGTTCGGTTACGATAAACATTATGGCGTTGAGATTCACCACACTTTTCGGTAACGCGCGTCCTATAGGGCGCAAAAAGGGTCGCGAAATTATCGCATTTTAAAGTCATTGTATCTACTTATAAATTTGAGGAAAATCTCGTCTCTCTCACATCAAAGCGCAAGACCGATATATAAATAATAAATCATCAGAAAGACCGTACGGGCTGATGCCCGTTGACATGTTACTTACACGTTTCTTTGAAGCATCATCTTCTTATGGTTTATGTATAGGAAGTACGTGGCAGCGTTTCGACTTGCGGGATTCCTCGGAAATTTTATAGTGTTTGTTTATGCTGCTTGTTTTCATCATACATACTCCCGGCGCGGCGCCGCTTTGTAGGTGCCTTTTTATGTGTCTCGCTTTTGTAAAACGTACAATAATTACGCGGATTGTGTTGTATTACGTTCGACGTTAACGGGAAATTTAATTTCGGGAACAGTTTATAGCTGGAAATTAAGTTATAATTTTAGATACCTACGTGTATAGATTTTATTTTTTAATATTTACATTTGCATCCGGTATTTTCTTTATTAGTTAGTTTTTGTTTGAAATAGGTAAGAATCTAGTCATGGGTTTAGTGCCTGCGTATACAGGTAGATCTATAACTCATTCGAATTTTGAAAAAACCACTCGTCACATATTCAAAATTGGTACGAGAGTTCGGCACCCCGGAGTTCACAGAGCCAATAATAGCGGCGTTTTCAAAGTGTTTTGGCAACAAAATAGAACCATTTATTCCCATTTTCGTTGACGTGTCGCATTGGTCACGCAGATAAGCGATTTTTTCCTTTTTTTTTTTCAAAAAAACCGACGTCCCCAATATAAAGGGCCAACGTTTTTGTCACAAATTTACTAATTGTTTAAGGAATAAGATACTTAAGAAATATACTGCATGAGTGACAAAAGTAAAAGAACACCAAGAAGCAAATTTTATTTTTCATTCAAACTGTGTTTACAGCACCACGGTGGTGCAACACATTATTAATTTTTTTTAAGTTTTGTTGTTAATTTGATGAATTAATTTTAATCATTTGTTTATTTTTCTCTTATACATGTAACTAGAATAAATGGTTAAATTTCAACAACTATTTTTTGGTGTTCTTTTACTTTTGTCACTTAGTATATGTTCCGCTTTTCCATCAAATCACAATGCAAAACTTCTAATCCACAAAGTGAGATTAATAATTTATAAAGTTCAAACACATTAAGTTAATTACAATTTGATGGTGTTTGAGGAGAAAAGGAAAGGCGATCGGCGTCCATTATATTAACATTTCACGTGTCACTGATATTACGATAACTTCGTTAAATTAATTCTCCATCGACCATTCAATTCGTATAATATCATTGAAAACTTCAATATATCAGTAATAACAATAATTAGTCGATGTTATCAGGGCAAATATACCTAACGGTGGATTTGTCAGTAGCGTAGCATCAATTTTTCCTCAATAAATTCACATCTAAATTGGAATAATAAATGAATTTATTAATTATAGTAGGTTCACCCATTTATATTAGTGGTTGCTACTTCATTAATTATTGCTACTTTATTAATTGTTACACATTATTTGATTATTCAGTTTAATTAGGATTTGATTGGTGAATCCATAGAGTGTATGGTTTTCAAAAAAGTATATGCCAATATAAGGTTATTAAAGTTTTAAATTATCTATATACTAGCATTTTTTATTTTTTTGATAATTCGAAGTGAGTAAAACAATTTAATAAATGTGTGCAAGATTTATAACATTTTGTGAATCCAAAATTTATGATGAACGCAGATTTAAGTATAACTAGGAAACCGAATAGAAATCGATTTATAAATTCACTTTCTGATTATAACTAAACAACATTCTTGTGCATTATTTTTGAAATAACTAAGTGTACCTACAGAAAAAAAGCAGTAGAACGTCACTGGTATTGTATGTAATATAACAATGGCCGATACCTCCGCAAACGTGTTTTATAATATAACCAAATTGTGTACTAATAAAAGCAGCAATCTTTTATACCGCCTATATGCGATTCTTTCGAACGGCATCAGAAAACCCACACCCATACCGTGTCGGCAAACAAACGTAAACCCAACCTCCTCGTTCCCCAATCAACCATCCCATTGGGCGCCGTTCCGAGCAGGGCGTTCCATTCGCCTTTTATCCTACACATATCCGATTCCAACGGGAATCATTAGTCGTAGAGTGAAAGTCGGGCAGCGCAAATCGACGGAAACGCGCCGTAATGATGTAAATATGGTCGTGCCCCAGGGCTCCGATACCAAGCCGTGCACTATGGCACACACGCCGTTGAAATCCTTCACCATAAACTCCCTGTTGCCGGAGACGGCGCTCGACGACACCTCCGAGCCTGACGATGAGCTCGGCTCGAAGCGCGAAAGCGAAACGTTGTCCAGTGATTGTGAATCGGATTTGGACGTCACCGGCACAACGCCGCCCTTGGATTGTTCCAATAAACCCGATGAAGATGATGCAAAGAAAGACAGTAAGTTTATTACACCATAACCACCATTGCTTTTGAGCCTCAATCGGTCCATTTTCCAGGCAGTGATAAAAAGTCCAATGAAAAACCCCCTTACAGTTACAACGCTCTCATTATGATGGCGATTAGGAATAGCCCCGAGAAACGGTTGACTCTCAACGGTATCTACGAGTACATCATGAAAAATTTCCCGTACTATAAAGACAACAAACAAGGCTGGCAAAATTCGATAAGGCACAATCTCAGCTTAAATAAATGCTTTGTCAAAGTGCCCAGGCACTACGATGATCCAGGAAAGGGGAATTACTGGATGCTCGATCCATCCGCAGAAGACGTTTTCATAGGTAAATTAATTTTTAAAGAATCATTCCATCAGCTTAACTGTGACAAGGATTAAAGATAAATTAAACAAAACCATTGCATTTCAGGCGGTACCACGGGAAAACTCCGCAGGAGATCAACAGCAGCGTCCAGATCCCGATTGGCAGCGTTCAAACGCACCCTATCCTTGTACTCCCCTTTGCAGTCCTGCTACCCCGCGTTTTACCCGCCCTCGCCGGCGCTCCTGGCGGCTGCATATTCCAGGTACAACCCCTACCTGCAATCGCCGCTGTCGACGAATTTCCTGCCGCGACCGACGCCGATGCAGCCCCAAAGCGTCGGCTTGCAGGACTTCAATTCATCGGGTTTGTTCAGGCCGCCCGGGTCCCTCTTCGAGATGTACAACAACTTGAGGCTGTCTGTGCCGCTGCAGTACCCCTTGCAGATTCCTGCTGCTTTGGCGAACGCGAGTAGTTTGAGCGCGCCTTCGAGTAGTTGTTCCAGTCCCCAGGAGGCGAGCAGACCGTCGGGAGAGGGACTTTTGAAGCCCGTGACGGTGATTACTAGGAACAATTGAGTATTAGTGAATCTGTGATTAGCTGTGCGTATGTACTGTAGATGATGCAAGGTGATGCAATATGAGTAAGTTTAAATATGATACTTTAAGGTGTAATAATCTTGACTATAGGTATCTATTAAAAAATATGTATGGATATCTACTAATTAATTTATTATTTTCTGGGAATTCATTATTCAATCAACAATACAATTAATAATTGATTAAAATATGACATTTAAAATATATGGAAACTATTTATTAAATATTTATTTAAAAATATCGATCAAAGACAGCTCGTTTTATATTTTACTTTTTCTCTTTCTAAAAATTGTATTAAAGTTCATAATAAAACACATTATGTAGATCAATTAGCTCGGCAAACCTTGCACATACCTTTCATATGTGATGTAAAAAATTGTAAATAATGTACTAATATTTGTATTTATATAAATTAATTGATAGAACAATGTATATTTTTGCATATATTATTCTATTTATATAGATGTCTAGCGTCAATTAATTGAGCACAATTTCTTGATTAAAAATTTTAATACCACTACTTTTGGTTTTAATCCCACTTTACGATCCTATAATTTTTTCAGTAAAATTCGCCTAATTTCTTCAGAAATATACGAGTAAATTAATTATATGTATCATACCTAGTTGATTAAACATACTTTCATTTCCAATACCGTTGGAATAAACTTATTATTAGCATAAAAAAACTAATTAATGCGCTTACGGATATACGGTTAATTAATACAACTTATTGCACCACAAACAATTTATAATAAACGTACAGAACAAGCTCCTTAAGTTATTATAAAAATACAGTCAGGAAATAATATGCATAATTTCCAGACAGGTGCAGTTCGTCGAATAAAATTCGTTTGTTGTAACCGATTATAGAAAATTATTACATACAACAACTATATTTTATTGCATTATGCATTTTAATGCATTATTTTATGTAAGTATTCTCATTTGATTGACTCATTACTATTTATAAACTCTTTCAGTTCTACAAGCAACTTAAAAGGTCCTTTTTCTCTCAATATTAAACATCAATTTTCAGAAGTGCGAAACAACATCAATCACCCTTCCGCAGGCCTTACCGCAAACGAATCCTTTTCCAGTAATTAGCGCAACGAAGGGTTTCGGATTGTTTATAGTCGGGAAGCTAATTAAGAGAGAAGCCTCCGAAGCGCTTAAGCAGCGCCGCGGGGCGCAAACAATCAGACGGAAGCCCGCGACTAAACAACAGATAAATAATTGAGATTAATGTTCGAACACGTTACCCGCAGGAATTTTCCAACACCAACAGTTTCGAATGTCTTTCGTGGGATTCCAGTTCTATTACCCAACTTTGCTTTGACGGTTCAAATAAAATAAAACTAAAGTAGGTGATGGTGAATTAGGATGTATACAGATAAGTGCAAATTTGTTTACAATATGGTCAATTCTATATGATTAGAACAAAGAAGGATTATTAACTAAGATATCATTCGTTCTTTTTCCTGTATGTGAGACTAATGCTGTCTTTATTGCACCAGATTGCGTACATAATTGCACTTATCTGTATAATATGGGACACATAGGGAAAAGTGTACGATTAAGGGATTTTTCCCTAATATGGGATACCTGAATTTGGCTACTACATGAACTATTATCTAACAGAAACTGGTAGAAATAGCTTCTCTAATGAAAGAGCTTTTTTATTTTACAATGATTGTATCAAAAGAATCTCACAACACTACTGGATGGTATATTAGATGGTGCATGGATTGGGATGCATGTAGGTCACTTCTGCCAGTTTGTATGGAATCAAAGGAATCGCCTAATTAAGACGAACTGCCGTAAATATCACCGGGCGCAGGACGAGCAGGACGTGCAGGCATGCGTTGCTAATAACGTGGAAAAAGCGTCCCGGCCTCGCGTTCGACCGGATTAAAATTAAATCATTACTAAAAATTTCGGCATGAGAAATCGGCCGTCAGTGTCAAGTCGGCTCTTAGCGAACAACGGGCGGCTCCTTTGACTGTCACTCAATTGTTAAAAGATCTATCTAAATACGAGCCCGGGTTCTTTTTTTTGTACGTTCGAGAACCCGCCGCACGGCCGTCTTTTTCTCCGCTGCTTCCTCCGGTCGATTATGAATGATCGCGGCCGTTTGCACCTAAGTTTACGAATTAATTTTCAACCAGCTATATTAGTACTCTTCTTTGGTCTCTTCTGAAGTGAAGTATACACCAAAATATATGACCAATAGGTGGTTTAAAGCAGGATTTTCTGCGTTATAGTACTTACATCGATTAACTTTTAAAAGATCTCCGATGTAGTGCCTGGGCTGTCAATCGATTTGATTGCTTGATTTATTGCTTCGATGGGAAATCGTGCTGTGTTGTAATACGTGTATTTATATACGTCCTGATATTTATTAGGTTTTGTTGGACGCCGACAAAGAATTATACGCACAAAAACCGTTCAGAAGTATTTTAACGACGACAAACAAAAATCGACTGGTAATTTATTTTTAGTAAATAATTTAACGGTTATTAATTATTCAGCAACGTGGGAAGAGTTGAAGAAGTTACATTAGAATCGTTTCATCATATATAGAGAAATGAAATATAGTGAGATGTAGCTATCAAAAACGTGCTTATAGAGCCGGACTATTGGAAAGTGTATTCAACATTAGGCATAACTGCGATCCAATATCATCTTCGGTATATGCATGTGGTAGCTTTTTTGATCGATGGGTTCCAGTCCCGGTCGGCGACGTGCTCTCTTCCCGTCGAATTCCACGACGGTAAACGGTAAGAAGGATGGCGGCTTTCGATAACGAAGAGATGGATGAGACACCGCGACTACTTACTCTCCTATCGCAGATAGAAATATCGCTACGATAAAACGATTCCGATCGAATTGAACGGACCATTAATCAGGACGACGGCTTCTCGCCTGTGAAAGGCTTTATACGAACTGAACTTTGTTGTTGTGGACGATAAACATACTAATACTTATCAACTTATGAAAGTCGTTTGGAAAAAGGATATACATATACACTTTCCTGATTCGTTATTAGTAGGTCTGATGTACGGTAGATGAAAGATTAACTAATAAAATAGCCCTATGCCTGGCAAATATTTTCATTTCACTGTCAGATTCCTTCATATCTCGGTGCTTTTTTTTGGTATTTGTCGAGCGTTTATCGCTGGATCAGAATGAGTTTACATAACATGTAAATTTACGGTTCTACATGCTAGTAGCATTTTGATCGATGACGCTTCTATTATTTCTTTGGTTGATATAATAAAGCCGGTGGAGAAATCTACTTTAATTGAATATACCTATCTAATTAATACAAAAATTTACTACTATTTAAACCGATAAACCTTTGTTTCCCACGACCTATCATATCATCTCGCCTAATAGAAAAACAGCTATTAATATTTTGAACAGCGACTTTAATTCCGTTTAACTTTCATTAAAAGAGCGTGTTCATATAGGTATTTATAAAAAACTAGACAGGACTCGTTTCAGTAACCAAACGATGGAGTTTACTACACCGAGTTATGGATCAACTCTTTAATAAATCCGAACAGTCTCGAGCTCTTTTCATTACTAGTTTCCAGTAATTACTACAAACATTTGTAGGTCTATTTACAAGGCATTAAACGAAATCATCCTTTTGTAATTTCACCGGGAATGCATCGAGACACAGGCACGGACTCAATAAAGGCCTTTTACGACGATAAAAAATGTTTTATGTCGCATTAATGGGAGTCCTATCCTGCCCGAATATCCGTACTAATAATCATAATGTTAATTTATGTTGAAGCATAATAATTATGATAAGTCGATGTCGATCGAAAGCGGCCGGCTCTTTGTAAGTACGAGCTAAAGGCGAGGTTATATGTCGCATTTTTTCTTTCAAACACTCATCCACAAACCAGATAATTGTAATTTATCGAGTCCGTGGCTCCTGCGAAGACGTTTTCTCTGTCGGACATATACGCGGTCGAAAGGATACGGCTTAATCAACTGGAAAATATACAACTTACAAGCGATGATGCCTCTATTAGTTACTTATTGAGTTGATTTTACGCAAACTTTAATTAAACAATAAATTATTAGTAATTGGAGAAAAATTAGAAACTAATTAAAAGTGAAATTCAACGAAAATAAAAGACCGTCAATATATTCAATATTATCCCTTAATCGTACGATTAAATATAAGCAAACATGCCAATCAAAGAATTTCCCACCGATATCGAAACATCTAAAAAATTAAACGAACCGTTTTGAATATTTAATCGGTCCGTTTCTTCAAACCCGAACGTCTAATTGGGGAGTTGTCGTTGGAAATGGGTGGGTGTTTGTATATATGTGAAACGCCGTGGGAGCCTTCCATGTGTTAGACGACAATGGTGCATTATCGTGTACCGTCTTCGTCACGAAAATTACACAGTTTGATTACTGGCCTTTGACCGCAACAACTCTGTAACAACCGGTATACAACGTGATCGCGTCGTTAATAACTTAGCGGAAAATTAATTATTTACGCCGCCTTAAAACGACGCCTGTTCGATATATCCCGAGAAATTGATGTTTTACTTTTATTGTTGTCATTAGAAATTGTAAAGATATATTCGATAATTTACTACTTTTCAAGTTATTAATAGTTTTCTTCTAGAAAAAAGGAAGGTTTGTTTAAATTAATAATAATCAATAGTCAGTAGTATAAACAGTATATAGTGAATAGTCAGTATCATCAGTACCTAGTCAATATTAGACAGTAGTTAATAGTAGTCATCAGTAGTCAATAGATAGTAGTGAATAGTCAGTATAGTCAAGTCAGTAGACAATAATCATTTGTCCAATATTCAGTAGTCAGTAGTCAGATGATGTCAATAGTCAGTAATCAATATTAGGCAGTAGTCAATAATCAGTAGTCAATAGTCGGAACTCAATGGTCAATAGTCATTAGTCAATAGTCAATACATTTACATAATTGAAATTGATATGTGACTTGTTATTCGTGACAAAATTATGGTGCAAATAGTGAACCAGTAAGTACTGATTCCTAAAGCTTTAATTGTTTTAGGTTTCTCTCTTTAATATCCAATATTAAACCATGTGAAGAAAAATGGTGGCATTATTACCCTTTTCGATGTTGAATAGAGAGTAAAAAACGCCGCTTTCTATAAGAAGGTTAAACGACAATAATATACTTCGAGATCGAGAAAGAAGCGCAAGTATCGAATGAACTCTTTATCGAACACCGGATCGAATTCTATTAATTGTTAAAAGCCGGGCAGGTTATCTGATACACGAGGCACTCGGCGGTACCTCTCAAGCCTATTTATACTCGCATATTGTCAATAGTGCCGCCCGGAATTTGGCAGTAAAAGGCGCGCCTTCCAGATATTTATAAAGATCCCATTTTTTATATATATAATCTGTTTTACCTAGGTTTTACCGATTCACCATCAATAACAAGTTTCCATTTCGCCACTTAAAATATATATTCTTATTAATAAAGTTTTGACGTT